GATCACCAACAGAATCAGGGACCTCTTTGAGTCCATAAATTCCAGTCAAAGATAAGACTCGTAAGAACTTGAACTTGGAGAACAATTCACGTATCAAAATCTCGATTTGACAAGGAAAAGCACTATACAAAGTGTTATTTGTAATCTGAACAAATGAACGCAGTCTTTTAGCATCAGTTAAACTCCCAAAACCATCAAAATATCTTACGTCACGGAATGCAAATGAAAAATGACGGGTTGTTTTGGGTATACAATTTCCTTTATCAAATTTCAACCTGAAACAGAAGTCTGCACAAACATATTTTCCCAAATCATTCAGAAGGTCATGCATGACGAACCGCATTTCGGAGCTTGATTGAAGAAAGAAAGACCTCATTAATAAATCATCGAAATACTGTTCACCAACTTCTTGTACATTCTTGTTCGATTGAGAATGATGGAGAAAACCTTCAGCCATCCACAACAAAATTAATTCCGTCTTGTCAAATTCATAATCTTTTGGAAATAACGCACAATAAGCAAAGCACCTCTTGAGGTGAGAAGGAAGGTGCTGATAACTCAATAACAGAGCAGGCATAATTTCAACCTCTTTCGGTAACTCCCATATGTGGCTTTCCAATACGCTTTTCCAATCTAAAATGGATGACTTTGTGCGGAGAACACTTCCAATTGTTTTCAAAGCAAGAGGTAATCCTTTGCACTTCTCAACTATCCTTCTACCAATTTCCTTTTTCTCATCATTCCATTCAAGATCATCATCTTTTAGGGCTTGTTCTTCAAAAACTTTCCAGCCTTCATCTTCTTCTAATTGCTTTAGGCGATGCACTCTAGATCTCATGTTAGAAGCAACTTTCTCAACACGTGTTGTGACAAGAATTCTACTTCCTGGAGCCCCATAGCTGAGAGGAGTTCGTACAACTTCCCATTCCTCTCGCCTTTCACTCCAAACATCATCTAAAATAAGAAGAAATTTCTTTCCGGATACTTTTTCTTTCAATCTTCCATGAACCATTTCTAGGTCTCCGCTATCATCTTTAGATTTTGTAATTGTCTCAAGAATTGTTTTTGTCACTGTCAAAATATCAAAATGATCGGAAACACACACCCAAGCTCTTATATCAAATTTAGTCTCCATTTTTGGGTCATTGTATACATGCTGGGCGAGTGTGGTCTTACCCAACCCACCCATGCCCACTATGGAAAGTATGGATAGATGGTTATGATTGTCGGTCTCAGATGTGAGCCAATTAAAGATCATTTCTTTGTCGGCATCTCTTCCATAAATAACACTTTCAACCATCAAAGAAGATGATGGCAATTTCTGTGACACTTTTCCACCTGATCTATCACCAGAATAAGTACCATCTTTCAAACCAAGAGCACCCTTTTGCTTTGCAAGATATTCTAGTTTTTCTAAGACTTCTTTCATTTCTGATTCAATTTTCTTGTTAAACGAATTGAAAGTAGAGTTGAAGAAATTTGATACCTTGTAAGTAAAGGTACGAGGTTCGGATTCAGCTTCCACTTGGTATCTTGTGAGTTCATAATCTATTTCAACCAAGAGATCCTCGGCATCAAATTCAGCCTCTTTGACAGAAAAAAGCCATGCTTTAACGTTTGGATCTGTGAACTGCTTCTGTTCTGCATCATGAGCAAGAGCGTTGATGGAGTGCAGCATGATGTTCAAGTTGCCGAGCAGCTTCTCATCAAGTTTTCTTTCACGAAAAAAGTCAATGAATTGAGGAGACGCCAGCCTGTCGAATGCAACCTGAAGAAAAGCGGAAAGAAGAGCACCACCAACAAGTTCTGCTGCCATGATAGGAGTTGAATTGGAGTGGATGCTGAATGGAAGTGTGTAATGTGAAATCGATGTTTACTACTGTAATTTAGTGCAGGAAAGGATTCTACACCGATGAAATGGTTATTTTGCGACGAAGACTTGACTTTAAGGATAGTGGAACGTCATTTTCTTTGATCGCAAATTCTCGTTAGATTAGGAATGGACGGTTCAAACATTTGTTATGTTTTATTCATCATTATAAAATGTGAGCAATTCGATATTCATTCAACGTTTGTGATGAATGAAAGTATGAAATCCTGATGGAAAGAGGGTTATGGGACCCAGTGAAGCAATATTTAAGCTAGTTTAGCACATGTGTAATTTTATTTAGCCAAGATTTGTTTATTAATCTTTATTTGTGTCTTTGTCTATCGTTATTTTCAATTTGGTTTAATAGTAATTTTTATCTCTTTATTTATATTTCTTTTTCAATTTAATATTATTATTTTGATAGCTTTAATGTTTGTTTCACTTTTATTTAAAAATAGTCAGGTAACCATTTTTTGTATTATCTAATTGACTGACTCCAGAGTAGGACCTAATTCCCGATTTTGATATTAAATTAGATTATGATTGATATGCGATTTTGGAAGAATATGGTAGTGGTCGATAGCTGCCATTTAAGCGGTATTGATGGTTTGCATGATATTTTGAACATCTTTATTTCAGTCTTGAGAAACGGGTCATGCGCGTTATTTATAAAGATTGATGAGATGACAGAAGTAGAAGATGATCTTCTAGGAAATCTCATGATGAAATTAAACACATTGAATAGAGGACCGGTAGAGTTAGACCGGGAGTGAGTACTTGGCCTGCAGTATCATGTCTTATTGTATATTACTCTAAATTATACACTAGAGATCATTGGGGGAGATAGAATATTGAGTATTTCAATTCTACTACAATGGTACATGTAACATTTTTCATTGTCTTTCATAGTTAAATCTTGGAATTGCTACTTTTTAATTTATACTTAAATTATCTTGTTACATATACATGGAGACAGTCATTGTGAACCAAGACCGGGTTTCCATGTATGGATTTATCGAATCTCAGACAATTCAATATTTTGGCTTGAGCACAATCAAACTTACTTGCAAACAAGGATATCTGAGTCAAAAGATCCTTTCATCGAAGGGATAAGGATGACTTACACTACAAGAACTATCTGTGTTCACTTTAATCCAATCTATATCCAGAAATTGCCAAACAACTTGTAAGTAGTTGTACCTTTCTCGGGGCTAGTATTGATGTCAAAAAATTTCAAAACCAAAAATCCTTTATATGTTGAACAATGCTATTTAGTTATATTTTGAACAGTTCTTAGTTGCGAAACATTATTCTGAAATATGTCATAGTTCTTCAATCTCCAAATCATCCAAGCAGTGTAAATCACCGCTGCTAATCACACAAGTTTTATTAGAGCGCTACTGCGGGAGACTTGATAAAATCAACAAGCTGAGTTGAGTTCAAACAATGCGTATAAGAAAAAATCCCCTGCAGCCAAGACCAAAGATAAACAACAGTAGTACACTAAAAAAATAGATGGTGAATTGATTCTTCATTTTTTTACATGGAGAACACAGCAAGGAACACAAAACAGCCCCTCTATAAGAAGTTGACGGCAATTTCTGTTATACCTTAATACTTGATCCAACACCAGAATAAGTACATTCTTTGAAACCAAATGCACCATTTTGCCTTGCTAGATAGTCTAGTTTTTCTAGGACTTCTTTCATCCCCGAGTCAGTTTTCTTGTTAAATGAACTGGAAGTAGAATTGAAGAAATCTGATACCTTATAAACGAAAATTTGAGGTTCAGATTCGACTTCCACTTTGCATCTTGTGAGTTGATAGTCTATTTCATCCAAGAAATCCTCTACATCAAACATGACCTCTTTGACAGCATAAAGCCTTGTTTTCAAGCGTGGATCTCTGAACTGTTTCTGTTTCGCATCATCAGCTAGAGCATTGATGTGCAGTGTGACGTGCAGCATAAAACCTGTTTCTTAATATCTAGTGTTTGAAATTCATTAAAGAAGCTATTCATAAAATTGATGTTTCTTAGCACATTCATTGTCCCCTTTTGGTACACAGATATACAATTAAAAGAACCCATTTGTGAAAAGGTTTTCCACAATCCTGCAAACCAAATCTATTTCTTCCAAGGACCCTTTCTAAAGGATGACGATCCAGCCATTACTCCAAACTACATAGCAATCTTTCCCCAGTCGATGCTATTTGGCATAACGTTTGCATTTCAATGCCTTCTCGATTTTCATAATGTCCTAAATAAAGACATTTGCTTGAAATTCAATTTCAATGCTAAATATTGAAAATATAAATTTCACATTTAATTAGAATATTAGAAAAATAAATCATTGTGGACAGTAGGCACACCTGGTTGAAAAGCTTTTGCTGTTATTGGGCAAATGTTAACTAGAGAGTGAAATACTTACAATAGCCAAGATTGTATTTTAAAAGGTTCAAAGGTAAAGTGGAGAACAAGTACATGATGTGTGATTTCAAACCTCAAGTTCATGTTGAAGTTGGAGAAATCAACAAAATATTACTACTTTTGTTCAAAAGCAATAACAGATAACAATAGCAAAAAACAAGTTGGAGAAAAATGTTCGATTTGGAAAAACAATTATATTCTTTCATATTGACAAATGAGACCCATTAAAACTCATCTGATCATCCCCTTTAAAACTTGGTGTTTATGTAGTATCTGATAGATATCTTTTTTATAATTATTTCTGTAAAAGTCCACAACACACAAACACAACAATCTTCACTCTCTAACTTACAACAAAGACACTCTTAAAACCCATTAAACAATACAAACCCTCTATTTTCATGGGCTACACAACAACACTCTCAACTCCAGAAAACAACGGCCCCTCTCTCTATTTCTCTTCTTCACCGCGGTGGCTTTCTCTCATTTTTCTCTCTTTATTTTTCCCACACACCCACACTGATTTTTCTTTATTGCAATGGGTGTCTTGTGAGTATGGCAATCTTGACCACGCCTTCCTCTATTTTTTCCTTCTTTTCCGTGGTACTTAGCTCTTCACATGAATGTGCCTTTTATAATATAGGAAGACCAACACAAAACAAAAGCTGGTGCAGTGGGCCATTAATTTCCGGGAAACATGGTCCTTAAATCAAATGATGGGGTCCATCCATTAAAGTTTATCCAACAATGTTTAGTAAATGTCGATTACTGAGTGAAATATTTGCAATAAGAAATTTGTAATTGTAAGGGTAGAGAGATATTGTGAAGAATTAGCACATGTACAAGAGACAGACCAATGGAAATTGTGAACATCTAACTTTGAACTTGTGTCTCATTACCTAATAATCAATTTTTCAATGTGACAAATCTTTCCCCAGTCTACGCCTTCTGGATTCTGACAACGTTGTTTGAGCAATGGACAGTCCCAAATTGTAAGAGAAGAGATGGCTTTGGACAGACCCTCGTCTGGTAAGCATTGAAGGCCAGGGCAGTGAAGAAGTGTGAGAGAAGAGAGGTCACGGAGACCCTTGTACTCCATCTTTTTAAGATTTGGGCAATCAAATATTTGTAGAGAAGTGAGAGAGTGGGGTAGCAAAACTTCATCAGGAAACGACTCAACATCCAACTTTCCAATAGACAAGCTTTCAAGACATGTGTTTGCATCCAATGACTCTCTCAAGGAGGCGATAAGTTTTAAACTTGAAAGAGACACATGTTTTACATTTGATGGCAAACCTCCTTCTGGGAACGTCTCCACTTTTGGACAATCAATTATCAACAATTCAATAAGAGATGGAAGCTGGATTTTCATTTGTTTTGGCAACAACTTTAGATTCTCTGCTCCCCGAATTTCAATTCTTTGTAACAACGGTGCAGATAACCCTTCACTGAAAAATGATTCAACTAGAGGGCACTTTTCAATTATGAAGTACTTGAGATGATTATGAGTATGCTCGTGTGAAAATCTTTGCAGGTTTCGGCATCTGGTTAGTTGAAGTGAACGGAGATTTGGAAAGAAATCTAGCGAAAAGGTTGTAAGAAAGTCACAACCGCCATCTATATCCATTTCTTCAAGGAAATCATAATGGGTCATGGGAATATTCGTAAGAGGGCACGAACAAATCTTCAAGAGTTCAAGCGATGATGTGTCCATGTTGTTTCTGCTAATGATGAGCTTATCACAGTAACCAATAACTAGTTTCTTTAAATGAAGAAGGTGCTCTGACAGACCTTTCAGCTCGGGACAGTGATCCATAGACAGATGTTGAAGACGTGGAAAAGAAGTAGTTTTACATTTCCATTCTCTCAATTCCTTCATGTCGTACAATTCCAATCTTTCTAAGGATATGAATGAAGAAGCATTGCTCCCATAAAATTCATCACCAATGCTCACTATTCCATCAAGTCCTACGATTTCGAGGGTCTTCAAAGATGACAATAGTCCAAGGGGAGGCAAAAATATGCAATATTTACAATCCTCCAACCGTAAGAATACCAAATTTGTTAATGAATTATTGAATAACCAACTTGGGAAGTGTGTACTACCATAGTTGCTTATACCCAAACCCTCCAATTGTTTGGGAGGCTGTAGATTCTCAAGTATTTTCTTTTCTTTCTTTGGATCATTAAGGATGTGCTTTGAGTTCCATTTTAACTCTAACTCCACAAGGTGTTGATTTTTCAAATTTGCTTCTAATGCATCCAAAGGATTCGTAATATTCTGCACCTCATTAATTGATAGCCTTCCATGAAGCCTGAGTCTTCCTAGCTGCTTAGTACTAAACTCATTATTTCTGTCCACGAAAAACATATTCAGTACTTGAAGATTCTTCAATTCTCCAAAATGCATAGGCATCTTTGTCACCTTTGTATTTTTGAATTCCAGGCAACGCAATTTGGTCAGTTTATGCAAATTTGAGGGCAACTTTTCCAGCCTTAAACAATGGTTCAACTTCAGTATTAGCAAGTTATAGAGTAAACATGTTGAGTCAGGTAGTTTTTGTATCGCAGTGTGTGAAAAGTCTAACGAACGGAGATGCTTAAGATCACCTATAGAATCTGGGAGTTTTGTAAGGCCCAAACAATTATAGAAAGATAAGATGCGTAAAAACTTAAACATGGAGAACAAATCATGTACGGAAATCTTGAATTGCCAAGGATAATAACCAATGTAAGTTCTCTCAATTTCTGTAATTGGAAGAAAAGAACGTAGTCTTTTAGCATCAGTTAAACTCCCAAAACCATCAAAACATTTGACGTGATCAAATTCAAAGGAAAAATGACGGGTTGTTTTCGGTATGTATTTTCCTTTATCAAATTTCAACCTGAAACAGATATCCCCACAAACATATTTTGCCAAGTCATTCAGAAGGTCATGCATTACGAAACGCTTTTCCGTGGTTGACTGTTGAAAGAAAGACCTTGACAATAGATCATTAAAGTATTGTTCACCAACTTCTTCTGGATGTCTAGTTTGAGGGCACTGTAGAAAACTTTCGGCCATCCACAACAAAATTAACTCCTCCTTCACAAACTCATAATCTTTGGGGAACAAGGCACAATAAGCAAAGCACCTTTTAAGATGAGAAGGAAGGTGGTGATAGCTCAAAAATAGTGCTGGGATAATTTCATTGTCTTCATTAGGTAAGTCCCATATGTCGCTTACCAATACGCTTTTCCAATCTGAAATTGATGACTTTGTGCGTAAAAGGCATCCAATTGTTTTCAAAGCTAAAGGTAACCCCTTGCACTTATCAACTATCCTGCTACCAATCTCCTTTAGTTCATCGTTCAATTCAAGATTATAATCTTTCGATGCGTGTTTTTCAAAAACTTTCCAGCATTCATCCTCTCGCAATTGCTTTAGGCGATGTACTTTAGACTGCATGTTAGAAGCAACTTTCTCATCACGGGTTGTGACAAGAATTTTACTTCCTTGAGCCCCATAGCTAAGAGGAGTTTGTACAGCTTCCCATTCGTCTCGTCTTTGGTTCCAAATATCATCCAAAACAAGAAGAAATTTCTTTCCTTTCAATTTTTCCTTTAGCTTTTTGTGAACCATTTCCAGGTTTCCACTTTCATCTTTTTCATCAGTGATTGCCTCAAGAATTGTTTTTGCCACTGTTAAAGCATTAAAATGATCTGAAACACAGACCCATGCTTTACTATCAAATTTAGCATCGTCCACCTTGGGGTCATTGTATACATGTTGGACGAGTGTGGTCTTACCCAACCCACCCATACCCACAATAGAAAGTATTGATGGTTGGTTACAGATGTCAGTTTCCGATGTGAGCCAGTTAATGATCATTTCTTTGTCAGCATCTCTGCCATAAATAACACTTTCAGCCACCAAAGAAGTTGATGGCAATTTTTGTGAGACTGCACTACCTGATCTATCACCAGAATAAGTACCCTCTTTCAAACCAAGAGCACCCTTTTGCCTTGTAAGGTATTCTAACTTTTCTAGGACTTCTTTCAACCCTGAGTCAATTTTCCTGTTAAATGATCTGAAAGTAGCATTGAAGAAGTTTGATACCTTGTAAATGATGGTTTGAGGTTCTGATTCAGCTTCCACTTGGCATCTGGTGATTTCATAATCAATTTCATCCAAGAGATCTTCTGAATCGAAGACAGCCTCTTTGACAGAAAAAAGCCATGATTTCACGTGTGGATCTCTGAACTGCTTCTGTTCTGCATCATCGGCCAGAGCATTGAGTGAGTGGAGCATGATGTTCAAATTTCGGAGCAGCTTATCATCAAGTTTTCTTCCACGAAAGAAGTCAACGAATTGAGGAGAAGCCAGCCTGTCGAATGCAACCTGAAGAAAAGCGGAAAGAAGAGCACCACCAACAAGTTCTGCTGCCATGATAGGAGTTGGAGATGGAAGTTTAACAGGGATACAGGACAGGGATTCTGTACTGACGAAATGAGTAGTTAGCTAGCATTGGATAAGTTTGATTGAGCAATATCAAATGTGATCACTTGGTTATTCATTCAACGGTTGTGATGAATGAAAGTACGAAATTCTAAATAGAGAGGTTTGTAGGTCCCAGTGAAGCAATATTGTTGAATCTTTCGGATAAGAAAAATGTTCAGAGCTCCATGAAATGGATGTCTGATGATAAGAAATCTGCAGGGACATCTTTCTTTTCATACAATATTTTAAAACCAACGGTTGCCTTTTGATTTTTCTCCTTATCCATGCTCACATTTGCGCCATACATAAAATTTCTCTGCATCAGGCTTGATTTTAGTTCAGTTATTACTGTTTAGTTCAGTTATTACTGTGCTAAAATTTTAGTCTTGTAAATAATAAAATTCAGATTTCATTTTCGGTTTTAGTTTTTTATTAAAATTAAAAACTTATTATTATAATAGAGATTATAACAATGACAAATTTTTCTTATATAATTTTAATTTAAGTTGTTCTTAATTATAGGATTATTGAGAATAGAACATTATTAATTTAAGTAAATCAATATATATATGTAGTTATGTGTATAAGATAAAGATTAAATGATTTCATTTTCATTTTCAAATTACGTACATATAAATAGTACATATATGTTATATATTACTATTGAGTGATTTAAATTGTTCTTAATTATAGGATTATATTAATTTGGATAGATCAATACATGTGTAGTAATGTATATAAGATAAAGATTAAAAAAACTCAAAATTACATACATAAATGGTACATATATGTCATTGACTAAAACGAAAATTCTTAATAATTAATATTATCTTTAAATTGGCAATATTTTTTTTTTCGATAAAATATATAATTTCTTACGATTTGAGATTACAGTGACAATTAACAAGTTATTTGTTATAATTTAATATCGGACATTTAACAATTTATGATATTAATTGAATGATTGTTGAATATAATTAAATTCTTATGAGATTAATAATTAATTAACAAAAAAACTTATCACCTCTTGAGAATGAGTTGGTAATCAAGAATGAGTATCGCCTATCACTTAATTACATGACATAACAATAGCACGGAAAAGAATCATTTCGTATAGTTGTCCTTTTATGAATCGAGAGAAAAAATTTCAAACACAAATGATATATATGTACTATAATTATATTATTCTAGATATGTTCAAAGAGAAGGGAGAGTTATGCAATACCCTTCCTTCAACTTTCCATAAGTGTTATAAAATTATGCTTTTTAAAATTTAAAAAAACGGTTTTTAAGTAAAGTTAAATTATTATTTTTAAAATATAATATTTTTAAAATTTAAATCCATCAACCCTAACCGTGCACCCTAAATTGTGTGATCCAAACATGGCCTGCATAATATTTTATTTTAGTAATAGAATGAATTGTTTTCATTTATTTCGTGGACCTCACCTTTTAATACATATTGTCTATTTTAAAAAATAGATATTTAAAACGTTTAATAAAAGTAATATTTTAATAAAATTATTTCAAAATTTATGTCAATGTAAATCTTCAAAACTACAAAAATATTCTTTACTTTTACTCTTCATTTATAACCATTACATTATCACCGGAATAATTTGCGCTAAATCGTTATACGTAATGAGTTAATCATATAAAAAAATTTATTCTTCTGTGTCTTGTTCGTACAGAACTTTTTTAAAGCCATTTTATATTTTGAAGAAACAACTAATGATCCTTAATTAATGTGTATAATCAATTGCAACAACTCGTTGAGATGACATATGTGCAAAGGAGTTAAAAGATAAAGAACTAGAATGAATAAAAATTTAAAAATAAAAGATAAACAAGTTTAAGTTTACGAATTTAGTAAAAAGAAAAAATAAATTGACTCGAAATAAATATTTTCTAGAATTTATAAATAAAACACTAACCATGCAATTTCTTCACAACAATCGGTCTTTCATCTTGTCAGTAGACAAATAATAATTTGTACTATTTAAAAAATTCATCTTTTAATTTTTTTCATCATTCAAACAAATAAATAAAATTCCAAACTAAGATATCTGATGCCGAAGCCCTGCAATTAGAATGTGAGAAGGTGCACATCTAATTTTGAACTTCTGCTTCATCTTATTACCCAACTACCAGATTTTGAATGTGAGCAATCCTTCTCCAATCTTTGCCTTCTGGCTTCTGACAACGCTGCTCGAGCAATGGACAACGCCGAATACGAAGAGAAGAGATGGATTCGGGCAGACCCTCCTCAGGTAAGCATTGGAGGTTACCGCAATCAAAAAGTGTGAGAGAGGAGAGGTTATAGAGAAAATTGTAGTCTAGCCTTTTCAGATTTCGGCAATGATTGATACTTAAAGAAGTAAGAGATGGTGGCAGCAAAACTTCACCGGGAAAAGACTCAACCTCCAAATTTTCAATAGTCAAGCTTTTAAGACATGTGTTGACATCCAAGTTCTCTCGCAGGGAGGCGATAAGTTTTATACTTGAAAGTTACATGTTTTTTACCTTTGATGGCTAACCTCCATCTGGGAACTTCTCCACTTTTGGACAATTAATTATTTTTAGTTCAGTTAGTGATGGAAATGCTGCAGATAATCCTTCACCGGGAAATGATTCAAATTGAGGACATTCACGGATTTTCATTTTCTTGAGATGATTATGAGCGTGCTCTTGTGAAATTCTTTGTAGGTTTTGGCATCCTTTCAGATTAAGATAACGGAGTATTGGAAAGTAATTTAGCTTAAAGATTGTAAGAGAGTTGCAACTATTATTAATTTTTATTTTTTCAATGAAATCATAATGTGTCATGGGAATATTCACATGTGGGCATGAACTAGTTCTCAAGATTTCAAGCGCTGATGTGTCTTCGTTGTTTTCGCTAATGATGAGGTTATCACATGACTCAATATCTAGTTCCTTTAAATGAAGAAGTTGCTTTGACAGACCTTTCAACTTGGGACATTCATAGATAAAAAGACCTCGAAGACGTGGAAAAGAAGTAGTTTTACATTCCCATTCTTCCCATTCCTTCATGTTGTAGAATTCCAATCTTTCCAAGGATTTGAATGAAGAAGAGTTGCTCCCATAAAATTCAGTACCAATGCTCACTATTCCATCAAATCCTTTAATCCTAAGGGTCTTCAGAGATGACAATAGTCCAAGGGGAGGCAAACATAGGCAATATTTACAATCCTCTAAGTTTAAGGATACCAAATTTGATAACGAATTATCGAATACCCAACTTGGAAATTGTGTACCACAATAGCTCCTGAATGAAAGATGCTCCAACTGATTAGAAGGTTGTAGATTCTCAAGCACTTTCTCCTCTTTCCTTGGATCATCGGGGATGTAATTTGAATTCCATATTAACTTTAGCTTCACAAGCTGTTTATTTTTCAAATTTGCTTCTAATGCATCCAAAGGATTCACAATATTTTGCAGCTCATTAATTGATAGCCTTCCATGAAGATTGATTCCACTTAGCTGCTTAATACTGAACTCACTATTTCTACCGACACAAAACATATTCAGTACATGAAGATTCTTCACCTGTTCAAAATGCATTGGCATCTTTGTCAATTTTGTATCTTCAAATTCCAGGCAACGCAATTTGGTGAGTTTACGCAAACTTGAAGGCAATTCCTTCAAATAAAAACAATAATTCAACTTCAATATCAGCAAGTTATAGAGCAAACCTACTGAGTCAGGTAGTTTTTGTACCCTAGTATGAGAAAGGTCCAATGAATGGAGATGTTTAAGATCACCAATAGAATCAGGGACCTCTTTGAAGTGATGATATCCATTCAAAGATAAGACGCGTAAAAACTTCAACTTGAAGAATTCATGTATCAAAATCTCGAATCGACGACCGTCACCATTATTAATTCCAATCGGAAGAAATGAACGTAGTCTTTTAGCATCCCTTAAACTACCTAAACCATCAAAATATTTTACATCACACAAATATAACTCTTTGAGAGCAAATGAAAAATGACGGGTTGTTTTGGGTACACAATCTCCTTTATCAAATTTCAACCTGAAACAGAATTCTGTATAAACATATTTTGCCAAATCATTTAGAAGGTCATGCATGGAGAAATGCATTTTGATGTTTGACTGAAGAAAGAAAGACCTCGTTAGCAAATCATCAAAATATTGTTCACCAATTTCTTCTAAATTGTTGTTTTGCGGAGAGTAATGGAGAAAACCTTCGGCCATCCACAACAAAATTAATTCGTTTTTGTCAAACCCATAATTTTTGGGAAATACTGCACAATAAGCAAAGCACCTTTTGAGGTGAGAAGGAAGGTGCTGATAACTCAATAGTAGAGCAGGAATAATTTCGACTTCTTTCGGCAAGTCCCATATGTCGCTTTTCAATACGCCTTTCCAATCTGAAAGGGATGACTTTGTACAGAGAAGACTTCCAATTGTTTTCAAAGCAAGAGGTAATCCTTTGCACTTCTCAACTATCCTTTTACCAATCTCTTTTTTCTGATCATTCAATTCAATATCATCACCTTTTAGAGCTTGCTCTTCAAAAACTTTTCAGCATTCATCTTTTTCTAACTGCTTTAGGCGATGCACTTTAGATCTCATGTTAGAAGCAACTTTCTCAAGACGTGTTGTGACAAGAATTCTACTTCCTGGAGCCCCATAGCTAAGAGGAGTTCGCACAGCTTCCCATTCTTCTCGCCTTTCGCTCCAAACATCATCCAAAACCAGAAGAAATTTCTTTCCGGATACTTTTTCTTTCAATCTTCCATGAACCATTTCTAGGTCTCCGCTATCATCTTTAGATTTTGTAATTGCCTGAAGAATTGTTTTTGTGACTGTCAAAATATCAAAATGATCTGAAACACAGACCCATGCTTTACTAACAAATTTAGCATCGTCCACCTTGGGGTGATTGTATACATGTTGGACGAGTGTGGTCTTACCCAACCCACCCATACCCACAATAGAAAGTATTGATGGTTGGTTACAGATGTCAGTTTCCGATGTGAGCCAGTTAATGATCATTTCTTTGTCAGTATCTCTGCCATAAATAACACTTTCAGCCACCAAAGAAGTTGATGGCAATTTTTGTGAGACTGTACTACCTGATCTATCACCAGAATAAGTACCCTCTTTCAAACCAAGAGCACCCTTTTGCCCTGTAAGGTATTCTAACTTTTCTAGGACTTCTTTCAACCCCGAGTCAATTTTCCTGTTAAATGATCTGAAAGTAGCATTGAAGAAGTTTGATACCTTGTAAATGACGGTTTGAGGTTCTGATTCAGCTTCCACTTGGCATCTGGTGATTTCATAATCAATTTCGTCCAAGAGATCTTCTGCATCGAAGACAGCCTCTTTGACAGAAAAAAGCCATGATTTCACGTGTGGATCTCTGAACTGCTTCTGTTCTGCATCATCGGCCAGAGCATTGAGTGAGTGGAGCATGATGTTCAAATTTCGGAGCAGCTTATCATCAAGTTTTCTTCCACGAAAGAAGTCAACGAATTGAGGAGAAGCCAGCCTGTCGAATGCAACCTGAAGAAAAGCGGAAGGAAGAGCACCACCAACAAGCTCTGCTGCCATGATAGGAGTTGGAGATGGAAGTTTAACAGGGATAATGGACAGGGATTCTGTACTGACGAAATGAGTAGTTAGCTAGCATTGGATAAGTTTGATTGAGCAATATCAAATGTGATCACTTGGTTATTCATTCAACGGTTGTGATGAATGAAAGTACGAAATTCTAAATAGAGAGGTTTGTAGGTCCCAGTGAAGCAATAATTGTTGAATCTTTCGGATAAGAAAAATGTTCAGAGCTCCATGAAATGGATGTCTGATAATAAGAAATTGGCAGGGACATCTGACTTGGCATACAATATTTTAAAACCAACGGTTGCCTTTTGATTTTTTCTCCTTATCCATGCTCACATTTGTGCCATACATAAAATTTCTCTGCATCAGGCTTGATTTTTCTAAATATAATACCATTTAGGGATTCATGTACTTCGTTGGTTTTCCTTTTGTTTCATAAGGTTAATAACATGTTTCTAGATATACTTTTAGTTCAGTTATTACTTTGGTAAAATTTTAGTCTTGTAAATAATAAAATTCAGATTTGATTTACAGTTTTATTTTTTGATTAAAATTAAAGACTTATTATTATAATAGAGGCTATAATAATGATAAATTTGTCTTATATAATTTAAATTTAAATTATTCTTAATTATAGAATTATTGAGAATAGAACGTTATTAATTTGGATAAATCAATATATATGTAGTTATGTGTATAAGATAAAGATTAAAGGATTTCATTTTCAAATTACACATATAAAGAGTACATATGCTGTATATTACTATTGAAGTGATTTATAGCAATTAAGATTTGGGAAATTAAGGATTTGTAAAGAGGTGAGAGCATGGCAGCAAACCTTCACTTGGAAAGGACTCCACATCCACCTTTTCAATACACAACCATGTAAAATATACTACACATACCTCTCTGTATGCAAATGATTTTCTGTAACTAACTCTCTAATTCCATCGAATGAAACAAACCTTTAAATAGCCGCAAATTATAACACACCTGAACACAAAATAATACTAATACACCGATCTTAACAAAAACAGAACGAAAAACATAAACCAACGGCAATAGAAAATAAATAAAATAAAACTCAAACGAAATTACAAATAAACCATTCAAATTTAAATTTATTTCAACAAAACTCTTGTAAAAACTTAAATTTTTCCATCATTCATTCTTATCAGCATCTTGCATACTATTTGTTCTTTTACTTCCTACGGATTTGAGTTCCACACTTCCTTCCTTTATTTTATTTTCTTTTGGATAAAATAAAAACGGACATGAATATGTTTGTTTCTTTTATGATTGACCAGGTTCTTTACTAGTTCAATGGCCTACATGTTGTCTATTCGGATCACCATATGCTCTTCTTGTCTTATTTCCAGTTTGCTTAGTAGATTTCTAAGCCAAATTGCATGTCATATACTCAAGATGCTGCAAGGTACTCGGCTTCATATGTCGACAATGTCACAATAATAAGTTTTTTATTCAAAAGCCAAGTGAAGGTAGTGTTCCTGATAAAGAAAACATAGTCTCTCGTGCTTTTTCGGTCATCTATGTTTCCACACCTGTCCGAGTATCATTGAGCCGGTAATCATCCAACTTGATATAAACTGCTATTGTTCCTTTCACGTATCTTAATATTCTTTTAGTGAGAGTACTTGGACTCCTCCATAAACCGACTTGTAATCCCCATGCTTAGCATCAAGTCTAGCCTCATGTTTGTCAAGTATCTCAAATTTTCAATTAAACTGTGATACATGCTTGCATTAACTCGATCTTTATCTATGTGTTTAGACAGTTTTGTGTCAGCTTCCATCCGATATAAACTGGGTTTTCCTTCATATTTGTTCATATTTGATTTTCCTTCAATGAATAGTAGTTTTTCTAAATCTTTGATGATTGGGCATTCAGTTTTTAGTTTGCAGCCTTGCATCATACTAGTTTCAGTTTTTAATGTAGAATTTTCTCTTATTAAGAGTTAAGGATGATTCTTTTATTCATAGGAATTTAATATAGGTAGGAGGAGGTTTTCAACAACCCACACACACTACTCAACTAATTGAGTTAGATGACCCCTGTGGTAAACATGATTCTCTTATATAGTTTGTAATTTTGCAGAAAGGAAAACTTCTCTGTAACTACAATTTTTATCATGCAAGAAATTACAGAAAATACATAATTGAACTTTTTCTTTTATGGATCTTATAATTTAGTAATTTTTTTAATAAAAACAACATTACAAAAATATTATTAAAATGTTTTATTAACTTTATTCAAGAGAAAGAACAGTCTAAAAATATTATTAAAAGTTTTTAGTATTGTTTATTTTATAACAATTGAAATGTTATTTTAAAACCTTTGGTAGTATTTTTGTAATAAAGGAAATATTGTAAAAATGTTACTAATATTAACGTTTTACAACATTAACAAAGATCACTAAATTATTTATTAAAGAATGAAATAAAATTCTATTTTTAAATAAACATTGGTGTTATCTTTACACCGTACCATAAATTAATACAGTGAGAGAAAAATTGTAATAAAAGAACTTGGTGATGGAGAAAAGATGGAAGTACATAAATACTAAAAGCTTCTTATATGATTCATGTAATGTATAGACATAATTCCAAAAGTTATGTAGAGTGACCAAGTCCAATATGAGTTAATTATATCGTTATACATCATCAGTTAATCATATAATAAAAATCTTTAATCTTCTGTGTCTTGTTCGGACAGAACTTTTTAAAAGCCAATTTATATTTTGAAGAAACAACTAATGATTGTATAATCAGTTGCAACAACTCGTTGGAGATGACATATGTGCAAAGGAATTAAAAGATAAATGAATAAAAAAATAAAGTAAAAGATAAACAACTTTAAGTTTACAAATTTAGTAAAAAAAAAATTCTTCACTCAAAATAAATATTTTCTATATATGAATTTATAAATAAAAGACCAACCACAAGCAAATTTCGTACAACAACCGCTCTTTCATCTTATCATTCCACAAATAATAATTCGTACCATTTAAAAAATTAATCTTTTATTTTTCTTCATCGTTCAAACAAATAAATAAAATTCCAAATTAAGAGATCTGATGCCACTCTAACAGAAAAAACATCAAAACAAAGAAGAGTTTGTCGAAGCCATGCAATTACAGAGTGAGAAGAATTAACACCTGTTAGCAAGTCAGCATCTAATTCTGAACTTCTGCTTCATCTTATTACCCAACACTCAGATTTTGAATGTGAGCAATCTTTCTCCAATCTTTGCCTTCTGGCTTCTGACAACGCTGCTCCAGCAATGGACAACGCCAAATATAAAGAGAAGAGATGGATTTGGGCAGACCCTCCTCAGGTAAGCATTGTAGTTTAGGGCAACCACTAAGTGTGAGAGAGGAGAGGTTATAGAAATCCTTGTAGTTTAGCTTTTTGAGATTTCGGCAACGATCGATTCTTAAAGAAGTAAGAGAAGGTGGCAGCAAAACTTCATCGGGAAAAGACTTCACATCAAGAGAGTAAATAGATAAGCTTTGAAGACATGTGTTGACATCCAAGGTCTCTCGCAGGGAGACGATAAGTTTTAAACTTGAAAGAGACATGTGTTTTACGTTTGATGGCAAACCTCCATCTGGGAACTTCTCCACTTTTGGACAATTAACTATATGAAGATGAGTAAGAGATGGAAATGCTGCAGATAATCCTTCACCGGGAAATGATTCAAATTGAGGACATTCACCCACTGACATTACCTTGAGATGATTATGAGCGTGCTCTTGGGAAACTCTTTGTAGGTTTTTGCATCTATGGAGAGAAAGATTACGGAGCATTGGAAAGGAATTTAGCTGAAAGATTGTAAGAGAGTCGCAACCACTATTAATTGTCATTTCTTCAATGAAATCATAATGGGTCATGGGAATATTCACAAGTCGGCATGAACGAGTTCTCAAGAGTTCAAGCGCTGATGTGTCTTCACTGTGTTCACTAATGACGAGGTTACCACATGACTCAATAAAGAGTTCCTTTAAATGAAGAAGTTGCTCTGACAGACCTTTCAACTTAGGACATCGAACAATAACAAGATGTCGAAGACGTGGAAAAGAAGTAGTTTTACATTCCCATTCTTCCCATTTCTTCATTTTGTAGAATTTCAATATTTCCAAGGACTTGAATGAAGAAGAGTTGCTCCCAAAAACTTCAGCACCAATCCTCACTATTCCATCAAGTCGTGTAATCTGGAGGGTCTTCAGAGATGACAATAGTCCAAGGGAAGGCAAACATAGGCAATATTTACAGTTTTTTAACTCTAAGGATACTAAATTTGATAACGAATTATCGAATACCCAACTTGGAAATTTTGTACCACAATAGCTCCTGATTAAAAGATGCTCCAACTGATTAGAAGGTTGTAGATTCTCAAGCACTTTCTTCACTTTCCTTCGATCATTGGGGATGTGATTCGAATTCCATAGTAACTTTAGCCCCACAAGGTGTTTATCTTTCAAATTTGCTTCTAATGCATCCAAAGGATTCTCAATATTTTGCAGCTCATTAATTGATAGCCTTTCATGAAGATTGATTCCACCTAGATGCTTAATACTTAACTCATTATTTCTACCGACACAAAACTTATTCAGTACATGAAGATTCTTCAACTCTCCAAAATGCATTGGCATCTTTTTCACTTTTGTATCTTCAAATTCCAGGCAACGCAATTTGGTGAGTCTATGCAAACTTGAAGGCAATTCCTTCAAATATGAACAATAATTCAACTTCAATATCAGCAAGTTATAGAGCAAACCTACTGAGTAAGGTAGTTTTCGAATTCTAGTACGAGAAAGGTCCAATGAATGGAGATGTTTAAGATCACCAACAGAATCAGGGATCTCTTTGAAGTGATAATATCCATTCAAAGATAAGACGCGTAAAAACTTCAACTTAGAGAATTCACGTATCAAAATCTTGAATCGAGAAGAAAGAACGTTACCATATTTACCGTCATATACAATTGGAAGAAATGAACGCAGTCTTTTAGCGTCCCTTAAACTACCTAAACCATCAAAATATTTTACATCACAATAGTATAAGTCTCTGAGAGCAAATGAAAAATGACGGGTTGTTTTGGGTACACAATCTCCTTTATCAAATTTCAACCTGAAACAGAATTCTGCATAAACATATTTTGCCAAATCGTTCAGAAGGTCATGCATGGAGAAATGCATTTTGATGTTTGACCGAAGAAAGAAAGACCTCGTTAGCAAATCATCAAAATATTGTTCACCAATTTCTTCTAAATTGTTGTTCTGCGGAGAGTAATGGAGAAAACCTTCAGCCATCCATAGCAAAATTAATTCTTTCTTATCAAATTCATAATCTTTTGGAAATAATGCACAATAAGCAAAGCATCTCTTCAGATGAGAAGGAAGGTGCTGATAACTCAATAGTAGAGCAGGGATAATTTCAACTTCTTTTGGTAACTGCCATATGTCGCTTTCCGATACGCTTTTCCAATATGAGCTTGATGACTTTGTTCGGAGAAGACTTCCAATTGTTTTCAAAGCAAGTGGTAATCCTTTGCACTTCTTAACTATGCTTCTACCAATCTTCTTTTTCTCATCATTCAATTCAAGATCATCATCTTTTAGTGCTTGTTTTTCAAAAACCTTCCAGCATTCATCCTCTTCTAATTCCTTTAGGTGATACACTTCAGATCTCATGTTAGAAGCAACTTTCTCAATACGTGTTGTGACAAGAATTCTACTCTCTGGAGCCCCATAGCTAAGAGGAGTTCGCACAGCTTCCCATTCTTCTTGTCTTTCGTTCCAAACATCATCCAAAACAAGAAGAAATTTCCTTCCTGATATTTTTTCTTTCAATCTTCCATGAACCATTTCTAGGTCTCCGCTATCATCTTTTGATTTAGTGATTGCCTCAAGAATTGTTTTTGTCACTGTCAAAACATCAAAATGATCAGAAATACAAACCCAAGCTTTGATATCAAATTGAGCCTCCTCAATCTTTGGGTCATTGTATACATGTTGGGCGAGTGAGGTCTTACCCAACCCACCCATTCCCACAATGGAAAGTATTGATGGATGGTTATGAGTGTCAGTTTCAGATGTGAGCCAGTTACAAATCTTTTCTTTGTCCGCATCTCTGCCATAAAAACCACCTTCAACTACCAAAGAAGATGATGGCAATTTCTGTGAGACTTTACCACCTGAGCTATCAGCAGAATAAGTACCCTCTTTCAATCCAAGAGCACCCTTTTGCTTTGCAAGATATTCTAGTTTTTCTAGGACTTCTTTCATCTCTGATTCAATTTTCTTGTTAAACGAATTGAAAGTAGAGTTGAAGAAATTTGATACCTTGTAAGTAAAGGTTTGAGGTTCGGATTNGTCTTTCGTTCCAAACATCATCCAAAACAAGAAGAAATTTCCTTCCTGATATTTTTTCTTTCAATCTTCCATGAACCATTTCTATGTCTCCGCTATCATCTTTTGATTTAGTGATTGCCTCAAGAATTGTTTTTGTCACTGTCAAAACATCAAAATGATCAGAAATACAAACCCAAGCTTTGATATCAAATTGAGCCTCCTCAATCTTTGGGTCATTGTATACATGTTGGGCGAGTGAGGTCTTACCCAACCCACCCATTCCCACAATGGAAAGTATTGATGGATGGTTATGAGTGTCAGTTTCAGATGTGAGCCAGTTACAAATCTTTTCTTTGTCCGCATCTCTGCCATAAAAACCACCTTCAACTACCAAAGAAGATGATGGCAATTTCTGTGAGACTTTACCACCTGAGCTATCAGCAGAATAAGTACCCTCTTTCAATCCAAGAGCACCCTTTTGCTTTGCAAGATATTCTAGTTTTTCTAGGACTTCTTTCATCTCTGATTCAATTTTCTTGTTAAACGAATTGAAAGTAGAGTTGAAGAAATTTGATACCTTGTAAGTAAAGGTTTGAGGTTCGGATTTAGCTTCCACTTGGCATCTGGTGAGTTCATAATCTATTTCACCCAAGAGATCCTCTGCATCAAAGACAGCCTCTTTGACAGAAAAAAGCCATGCTTTAACGTTTGGATCTGTGAACTGCTTCTGTTCTGCATCATGAGCGAGAGCATTGATGGAGTGCAGCATGATGCTCAAGTTGCCGAGCAGCTTATCATCAAGTTTTCTTCCACGAAAGAAGTCTAGGAATTGAGGAGAAGCCAGCCTGTCGAATGCAACCTGAAGAAAAGCGGAAAGAAGAGCACCACCAACAAGTTGTGCTGCCATCGTAGGAGTTGGATTGGAGTGGATGCTGAATGGAAGTGTGTAATTTGAAATCGAAGTTTACGAACTTTAATTCAGTGAAGAGATACTATACGGATGAAATCAGTAATTAGTGACATCGGATAAGTGTGACTAAGCAATATAAGATGTGAGCAGTTAGATATTCATTCAACGGCTGTGATGAATGAAAGTATGAAATGGAAAGCGGATTGTGGGACCCAGTGAAGCAATAATTGTTGACCCTTTCTGATCATAAAATGTTCACAGCTGTAATCCATGAATGGATGTCTGACAATAACAATTCAGCCGTGACAAAATAAAAGGAAAAAAAAAAGCTAACATTTCATGTTCTATCTTTCACCAAATGATAAGGATCTCATATACAATGTTCATGATACGGTATTAGTGAGTAACTATATACGACGTGTCATATATATATATACTTTTTTAATCTACTTGTTTTGTAGATCAAGATTGAACTGCTAATCGAATGTCATCTTACTTCCTCTATGATTGTTAATTTAGATAAGTGGTATTAATGGTTTTCATGATATTTTGATTTATCTATGATAAGTTGAAAACATTTATAGCCTCAGACCCTGCAGTTATTTTACAATGAAAACATAAAACAATAACCTTTTAAGTATCACGAACTTTAAGTCCTCTTGAATAAACTGTTTTCATGTAGTTGCAACATGGTTCTTTCTTGAACATAGGAATATTGTAGAAATTCTTATTCTCATTTTAGAAGTGTCAGTCATCTATCATGGAACTTAGATCAATCTCTGCAAATATCCAAGTTGAGAAAATTAAATGGTCTTGTGATGTTTGTAGAATCCTATTGTATGTCACTATGAAATTTGTTAATTGTTCATTTATATGTCGAGCTTTAGTCATACTTCTTAAATTTTCTTCTATCTTCATTTTCAACACCTATGCTTTTGTGTGGATAGCTTATAATAATTTCTTACAGATGAACATTCTATTATAACTTTATCTCATCTAACCACATTTTGACATGGCTTCATTTCCATTATATACTAAACTTTCTTTCTTCCAACATGTATTTATTATGCACTAGTTTGAACCTCACTGAAATACAGAGGTATGTCATGTTTCTAGTTGTTTTTGGAACTTCCATCAGATAATAAAATTTACGTATAAAATATATTGTAAAACATCTATTGCTTTTTCCATTAACAAATACAATGACCGTTTTCGGTACAACAAATACTCAAGCTTTACATAGCTAATCTACATCAGGTGACTGCTACCTCTTCTAACTTTATAAACAAATGGAAACCCAAGGAAGAAAAGAAAAAAAATTAAAAATTAAAAGCTATTGGCAATTCTCACTACTTCAATGCCCCTTTGCAAGAAATCAAATACAATTTCAAGGGTCTAAGAATGTAGTTTTAGAAGCATTTACATTTCACAACTCCCTTTGCTTCAATCTCTCTCTGAGGTGTATTGTTTCCTTGGACCGTTTAGGTAAGTCATATCAGTAAAGCCAATTTAATCCCTTCTACTTGTTTCTCTGGTATAATATCCTGGTACCATGGAAGAAAACCGACTTTGGAAAGACCTATGGAGAAATAGGGGTATCCACACAAAACCAACCCCACAGGGTTACTAGCCAATAGAGACCACTGGGAGCAATGCTTCCACAAAAACCTTGTAGATGTGTGGATATTGCTGGAGGATAAGTAACCATAGCCAACACAAATACATACCAGCAAGCGATGCTGCCCCATATAAAAAAAAATGTTGTATCCAAGTAAAGTATATTGAGGATTGCCATTGGCAATTCACAGTCCACACCACACATGTATACATTGTGACCCCAAGTATTTCAAAATCAACCACCTTACCATCTCTTCTGAAGGCTTGATTCAACACAGAATTAGTGGTTAAGAAGAATATCACTAAAGAACTAAGGACTCCATTCAACATCCACCAAGAATTCGGGCCAGCTGAACAGGGTGTCTTCTACTCCCTCTAGATATAGAAAGGGATACTGTAAAACAGACCATATGATTATTGATTAGCACAGAAGCTTGGCTTTCAACCAATCTTTATTTAAAATCAAGAGCAACAGGAGAAATCAGTAGACATGTCAGCCATACAATAGCATTAGAATTTACAGAGTAATGTGTTAGCTAGATTTCATCCTAAAATCAATGTTGCTTATACAACCATTATAGTGCCACAATAATGCTTAAATATGTCTTCTAGAAGAAGAACCATATATGTCTATCTGCTGATTCTTAAATATCCTTTAAAAGCAAATTAAAAAAAGCAATATATATAATACCTTTAGGCAAAGTTTGGCAGAAACATCCTGATCAAAAACACCTAGAGCGATCACTGGAAGTGAAGTGAAGAAGACATTGTAAAATGACATGTACCAATCATTGTAAGCAGCTTGACCAAGAAAGAAGCATAGCCTCAAACCAAAAAGGGTAATCCAAATGCAATGTTTTATAGAAAAAAATAGCATATCTGCAAAAAAAATTCAACAAGTTATCAGCAGCAATTTTTTTTGGGGACAAAGTTGCCTCTTTTTTATCTAGACAAGTATGATCCCAAACACATGTACTCTTACATAGCAGACAGAAAATTATAAGATCTTTTTCATCTGGACTAAACCAATCTACTCACGGAGAGTAAAAATTTTGAGGAAAAAGGGCAAAATAATTAATAAGTTTTATACAGCTGTCTCTTTCTTATGTTAACAGACTTCTATGTAAGAAGCAACTAGAACTTCTTGTAAAACTAGTTTTCAAATAATCAAATAAAGTTTTTTTTCTATCTTTTACGTTACTTCTTGAATGTTGTTATTCTCTCTTTTCTGTAACCTCAGAACATTGAGGAAACTAAAGTTGAACTGTCAAAGCATTGAGTAGGTGAACACTAAATCTTTAAGACTGAGAATAGATGGATGCATGGTTACCTCATTGATATACGCCGATAACACCAATGACCATGTACCAACAAAAGACGCTCTAGAAACCGGAATTGAGCTATGCAAAATCACTTGCCATTACATCATGCAGACAAAATTTATTCACAGATATCAGAAATTGGGACCGTGTCATTCAAACTCAATTCATCATTAGCTTATCATACAAAAAAAATGGCATGTCTATTCAGAAATATTAATGAAGAGTTTAGGACTGCTGTGTGGAGTAGTTGTTACTAAATCAAATGTTTTTATATACCTATTACTTGTTATTTAATGATGCTTACTTGTATGGACAGTAATTGGCAAGACAACCTATAAGACTAGATAGTAATGTTACCCTGTTAAGAATATTTCCCAGCATTCCTCCCCACGGTAATGAATAGATATTAAATGTCAATCACACCCAACTTGGTTCAGTGTTCATAAAAAGTGTTCAATCCAAAGGCTGAGTAATAAGATCACTCCACCAATCACCAAATCCAACATAGAAAATAAAACCAACTTCATCACATGCTGAATTTTCTGAGTTTAGGCACTATCTACATGGCAGTCTGATTTTGTATTAAACATTTTCATTGGGTTTGGCACTGCGACACAGTTTCGTAAAAATAGTCATTTCTATCAACTCTCTTTGTACATAAAACATTACTGATACTTATGTTGCATGCCTGTTTGGCTGACAGCTTGGTTGATATGCTCAAGTGAATTTCTCCATAATTGAAATAATCCAAATGCAATGACATAGTAAGACAAAATGTAAGCAGCACAAAAGCGTTTTACGAAGAACCATATAGACTGCTAAGATTAAGGTAAAAAACTCTTATTTAAGCACATCATCAAGAAGTTATTATCTCATATAAGATCGTTTTCCATAAATTTGAATATAGAAGTAACTGGAATAGGCTAATAACAATATCTTCAGACCTGCATCCCTTCAGCACCACTGATACCAACTCCAATATCAGCCTCCTGAAGCATGCCAACATCATTTGCCCCGTCACCGATAGATAATGTTGTCTTCCCTGTTCCCAATTTTACCAACTTTGTAACCTGCATATTTTTTTGCTGACATGATTATAATATTTTAACAACCCAACCTATGATTATATGCAACTACTCAAGGAATGTATATTATTTATATGACAGAAATTCAAAATTGCACCACCATTTAGTACTCCCACGAGTTTATTGTTTGCGGTGAAGGTCGGCACATTATGACAGAAGCAAATTAATGGGCAAGATCAAGAAGGACATTTCCTTCCAAATTCTTTGTTAAGAGAATAATCGCCAAGGACTTCCCAGCGGTAATCAGCCAAACCCAGACAGCACTTCTTTATTTGCATTAGAACTCTCTTTTGCAGAGTTAATTTGTGAGATTCCTTCTCCAATTTGCTTCTTAATGCTTTCAAGAGAAGCCTAAGAAATTTTCTATCAAAGATCTACAATAGTGACAGAAAATTAAATTCCAAATTAAATTCTAAGGCCCGTTGTACCTTTGCTAAGCCTGCTTGTCCCTTGTTTTTCCAAGTATAGGATATCTGACGAATCAAGAGTGATCACTATCTGTTTCATGTCTTTTCTTAGTAAACTGCAAGCATACCTGTACAAAGAAAAGGGTGGAAAATAAATTCAATTTTATACAACCTTCTCATAAAAAGAATCTAGAACAAGCTTGGTAATGTACCCTATGTTGACAGCAGTTTCCATCTTGTCTCCAGTCAATACCCATAACTTGATTTTTGCCCGTGCAAGCTTTTCAATACACTCTGGAACCTGTATTTCCATGTCAAATAAGCTCTATTAAATAATCAAGAACAAAGGTGTTTAATAACTCTTTTTTCCTACTTCAGTGGTTTATGTCTGAAGCTGAAATTCGTTTTTTGTCAGAAACTTCCATTTTATTCTCACTGGGTATATAAATTTTAGAAAGTTGCCTTCATTCGAGTCACCCCTAGTCCACTTTAATTTCACATCAACTAGAAATATGGCTTAAATAAAACTTAGACAACTCTCATTTTACAATTTGATTTTGTGAGATTGTATTCGACCCTTTATTCAAATTCTAAAAATAATAAATGCAAAGACTTGCATTACTAGAATTAGTAAGATTAAAAAGTTTGTACTTACCCCCTTTTGCAGTCTATCCTCAACTGCAGTAGCACCAAGAAGTATCAAATCTCTTTCCATCCTATCAGCAGCTGCATCCACAAGTGCATCTCGGTCTTCTGTTACAGAAGTTTTGACCTTTGAAAACTCCTTATCCCATAACTTATATTCTTCTTCATCAAGTTCACGGTATGTGACTACAAGGGTTCTTAAACCAGCCTCGGCATACCTTTTGATATGATCCCTCGTTTCAACCTCAAATTGTCTTCCATATTGTGAGAGCCTTTCAAACATTACACTGAATATATGCAGGGAAGTACACAACTTGACATCAGTACACGCAACTTACTACTAACAACTCCATTATTCAAAAAACATGGGACAATAATTGAAACCTGTCTGCACCCTTGCATAGAAGCAATAATTGATTTTCCTCATTCCTCACTATCACTGACATTCTTTTGCGGGAACTGCTGAACTCCAAGACATGCAGAAGCTGGTACACTCTACTAGTCAAAAATTAAACCAACGAACAGTAAATTAAACACAGATTTTTAAAAATATGAAAATGCAACAAAACTATAATATGATATGTAAAGACTTGCTCAAAGCTTCTTAAATCACTCTCTCTGTGTGGACCAAATGTATCAAACAGGTCCAAACCTATTACAGTGGTTTTGCTTCTCTTTTTCAAGATATTGAATCTTACGACCTTTACTATCATCCTTTTTCAGCCAATATTCTTCCAAACATGAAAGGCTTTAATTCTTCCCCTCAATCTTTCATCCTAAAAACAGATTTAAGAGCACAGACGAGAATCTTTACCTTTACATGTGATTTTGCAGAAAAGAAAATTTCCCTATAACTATAATTTACATCATCCAAGAAATTACAAAAAATCCATAATTGAACTTATTTTCTGTTATGGGTCTTATATACAATGAAATCAGTTGAAAAGATATATGAAGATGTAAACGGAATGGCAAACCAAAACTTTGAAAATCCTATTATAATTTTGTTTTAGTGAGAATTCTGATAAAACTTTGTGACAACAGAAAGCTGAACTACTCTATTAAATAAAAATTATATAATCTAATCTGAGATGACAACTTTGGCCACCAACTTTGTTGGAAACATATCAGAAGATGGGGCTGATATGTATAACTAAAACAAAACATGGTAAAAGGAGCTAGCCAACCTGTCAACCTTTTTTCCACTTTCATAGTTCAATTCGTGCAATGATATGCTTGTTTGTGTCCTTGCAAAAAACTCAAAACCGAGCTCCCTTGCTGCTATGACAAAAGCTGCTTCATCTGGTGACTCGGCTTCATAGGAAATTTCTCTGGATTCTTTATCTTCGTCTGGAATAGCTGTGTGACAAATAGCTAAAACTCGGAAGAATTTTTGTATGAAGTCTGGATATGGTTCATTAACCCATTGCCCATTCATTAGGCGCTCATCGCTTAAATTAAAGCCCTTAACTGGATGCAGAAAATCAACTGACTCATTATTCTGGCCCAAGAAATCAGATGATCCACTATCAACATCAGATTCTCCACCTTTTCTTCTCCTAGCAAGTGCCTTCTCTACTTCTGTCATACCACGACCATATGCAATGCCCCCTATTGAACATTTGACAAACTCCATTGAGTTACATGTCAAAGTACCAGTTTTGTCACTCAATATTGTGTCAACCTGGCCAAGTTCTTCATTCAAATTTGATGTTCGTGCATGAGCAGGCCTATCTGATTCTTCATGATACATTTCTTGGTCTTGGTTGATGAAAATGCTCTGTAGAACTTTCACAATTTCTATGGACACGTAAAGTGATATCGGAATTAGATATCCATACAACATAATGGCAGTCAAAAAATGAAGAACAGCAGCAAGTGTTGCCCTTCTGGGATCATAGAACACTGTTGCATTGTTTGGACGAAGATACCATCTTCTATACCTTCCACCACTAATATCCTTTTTGGTCTCAATACCAAAAAAGACTGAACCAATAAAGGATATCAAAACCAAGGTACTGAAGAGGATGTAGATTATCTTATCCATTTTCCTCTCAATTTTGCTTCTCTTGGACGGAGGATCAGTGGAATTCTGCATAACTTTCGTATCATGGCCAGTAAAGATAACAATGCCATAGATAAAATCAGTGTTTTTCAACTTAGAATCTCTTAACAGGATCTGCTGCAAGGAAAGAGGATATTCTTTACCATCATGTTGTAAAGTTCCAATAAATGAGTACAGATTTTCATTAGGATCCTCACATTTAACCATAGCCCTAAACTTTTGTAGGGATTTTTCATCATGAAGATGAACTGTCACCTCCAAAGCATGCTTTAATTTTAGATTAGTTTCTCCGTCAAGATTCATAGTCTCCACATAACAAACCCCGTCACCATAGCTTGATGAAAGCAAAAGAAGATCAGCAGGAAAGTATTCATCCTTGTACACTTTAATGATATCCCCAACACGGAGTTTCTTCCATCTAGTCTCCGTAAACGTATAGTTTCTACCATATACCTGAACCTTTCTGTTGTTTGCCTCTACATCCTGAAGAAATACATGAATTTTAGCCAGGAAAACTTCTAGTCTGTGAATGATATGTAGGGTACATCAATGGGGGGAAAACCTTTCCAGAAAACACAAAGATTTAAAAGAAATCAACCAAAAGGGTGACTCGACAAAACACAAAAGTCAAGTACATCCTAAGCAAATGACTAACAGAGAAAAGAATATCCTAAGAAGGCCAAACAATTTACATAGGCATATAGCAGCACTTAATTACATGACATAATAATAATATGCAACAGAATCATCTCGTAGAATTGTCCTTTTTATGGATCAAGAAAGATGAAAATTTTCAAACACAAATTGATATGTACAAGAATTATATTATACTATATATGTTCAAAGAGAAAGGACAGTTTTGCAATACCCCTATATTCCACTTTCCAGAAAGAAAAGAGCATTCAAATATACTTTTATACCAATTAAACCATAACATAATAATTTTCTAATTTTAGAGAATTGTAAGATAATGAATGTTGTGAAACTACTCCTTGATCATCAGTAGTAACTAGTAAGGGGAAAATTACTCTCATTTTTCTATTGATTCATAACTTTTATTATACAAAACAATACCTGTTTTCTCCTCCTCCAATCTTCCACAGCTTCCTTTGCCATAGTAGCTCCAATCACAACCAGCAACGGAGCAACAATACTCAGAGCAGTAAAAGGTGCCAATGGACTAAATGAAAGACACGCAACAATGAGAAAGTAGATATTTGCAACCCTCCTGAACTGCTCAAACAAAGACTTGGGGATAAAATTAAAAGCTGTATACTTGGTTGTTGAAACATAATTGCCTCCATAACTCAAGTGAACTGCTTCAGGGTTATCTGGATCATTGCAGTACACAACCCTGGAGTACCCCTTCTGCCCAATTTGGGAATGACCATCTCTGAAACGAGATTTCAAACAAGAAAAACTGTACAATTTGCTAAAATGTATCCTTCTTTTGCTGCTCCCTCCAGGCATTTTCCAAATGGGGTGTCTAAATGTCTTATCTTCACACAAAAAACCCAGTTATTCCTCTACTTCTCCATGGGATCAAAGAAGCACCCATCATTCATAACCCCCTCAAGCACAGATTTTGATCCTCACCTTCTATAAGCAGAATGAAAGCACCAAAGTGCAGGGCCAGATACTTAAAAAAAAATAATAATAATGAAAATTAGGCCAACCCCTTCACCTAAAAATGGCTACACTCAATTAATATGAAAAGAACTACCCAACATGGCAAGTCAAAGATAAGAAAACGAAAACAGAGAAAAAACCAAACAAGCTTTGATCCCTTCAAACAAGAACACAAAACATCAACTACACCACAATCACAGCCAAAATGAGCTAGAAAAAGTGTGCTCTGAAATTTGAAAACCCCTTAAGATAAAGCTTTGGGAATTCCTTCCCCTGAATGGAAGCTGCAGATGTCTCTTCCTTGCAAGTCCAACCAAACTGTTTGTGGAGAGAGAAACAGAGAGAGAGAGAGAGAGAGAGAGAAAGGATCAAAAAGTAAGAGCTTGGTATGAGTAGCAGTTAACTTTGCCGCTTCTAAAAGCAAACAAATGAGAGAGACAGAGAAACATTGATAGAACCGACTACCGAGCTGGTCATTACTATTAGTTTAGTACTCTGCTAAAATTACTGTCTTGCTTCACTTCTTCACCTTTCAATTCATTCACCAAAGAAAACATAACAAAAATCAAAATAAAAGTAGACCAAAAAAACAGAAAAAAAAAGAGGGGTGAATACTGAATAAAAAATTAATGACAATAATAGAAACAGTATCATAGTATAATGTACCCTTTGTTTGCATGAAGAAGAGTAGCACTTAGATCGAAAAGTTGGTGCAATCCACAAACAACTTTGACGTTTTTGTTTGTTGCTTTGTAACACGTGTTGTTACATTGACAACAACAAACCCTGATACAGATAGATACTCCTTCCTTGTCCTCTGTCACAACTCTCACTCACTTCCTCTCGTTAATATATTTTATTGCCTTCGTTCTACTTTTTCTCATTTTATTATTATTATTTCAACAATTTTATCTATCATATCTTTTCCAAATTTGGTCAAAAACTTCTGTAATTTAATTTATTTGGTATTTTAAAAATATAATTTAGTCTCTTAATTTTAAAAATCATAACGATGGCACGTTGATTCCAACAGTAAGAAACAAGAAAAGGAGTCACCATCATCCCAGCCATGAAGAAAAAAAAACTGGAAATGGACATGCAAGGTGATAACGTTTGGATATGAATAGAAACTTCCAAAAGTTACCATGACAAGTTAAGAGCATGTGACCCTGCACAACCTCACAAGTATAGGGCATGTGCCTCTGCATCTTCTTCCATTTAATATGTTGGGAAATCATATTAAACCCTTGTCATTTGCTGCTTCCTCCTCCAATATCCAATATCCAACATATTATATATATATATATATATATATATGTGTGTGTGTGTGTGTATAATATTAGAAATCAAAAGGAAAACTTTTAGAATTTATTGTAGATGTAATACAATGAATTTGAAGGGAAGTACTTCTATCTGTTTATTCTGATTTATGCAGATTTACATCAAAAAGGAACTGTGAATTTCTTGCTCAACTTCACTCCTTAAATAAGAAAGGAAATAAGTTGATAAAAGGGAAAAATTATATTCAATTTCCTTGAATGTCATTCTCATATAATTTTCTAAAAACGCTTTTTTGTAATTTTAAATCTTACCATTAACATAATATATTTTTTATTTTATCAATTTAATCAAATAATTTGTAAAATAAAATCATTTTTACGTTTTTTGCTTAATTTAAATAAGTTGAATAATTACACTTTTTACTTTATTTTCTATTTTTTCTTTTTTTCATTCTCTAATTAAACAAAAAAGCTTACACTAAAATTATATATTTTAAAGTATAATTATGTTTTCTAGTTCAATTCTTTAGATTCAGTATTTAAAAGTTAAAAATGTTTTTTTTTTCAAATTTAAAGTACTAAAAGGTTTTAAGAAAAAGAAAAGGCAAAACTAGATTCATCTAAAACTATACAAACTTAAGCGATTTTTTTTTAATTAGGACAGACTTTTGGAATAAAAGTATTTCAAAAAGCATGACGTTAATAACACCTAGCTAGCAATTATTTTTGCTTTAACTTTTCCGTGGATTTTGTGGCAGAGCTTTTCCATTTTTATTATACTTTTGAAAAAGATTTTCTGCATTTTTCACGATTAATATTTTAATATTTTTTTCATATTTCTTTATTCAGACAAGGTTTCTTTTTTAATTGTATGAAATTTGGTAGACTTTATAATATAAGGTTTTGATACTATATAATAGTTTAAAGAGATAAGGAAGTTTTGTGGTGGGTGGGCCCTACCCTAGACCTATATCACAACAACACAACCCTTCATAAAGTATATTAGTAAGCATTGCATTCATGATCATATAGAAAAATATATGAAAAAAAAATTAAACATAACCATTGTGATTAAACCATGATATAAAAATGATAATTAATTTATAAGTATTGTGTTATAAAGAAATAAGCATTATTATATATATGTGTGTAATGGTGACATGTGGTCCTCTCCTAAAATTTAGGGCAACTTAGCAGTTGGCACATTTGAATTGAGTCGGAAAATTCCCAAACATGGCATGACACATGCTATCGGGTAATCTTCGCCACCTTTCTCTCAATCTCCATTTGTTATCCTTTTATTGTGTATAAATACTATATATTTTTAATTTATTCTTCATTTATATATAAGATCAATTGCTTATTCGTGTATTTTTTTAATTTTTTGTATTGACTTTTATTGTAATTGATGAAACTATACTCACTATAATAGCATATATATGGTGTGTAAAAAAATATATAAGAGTTTGACTAATATATTGGAGCATTGACATTGCTAGTTGATTTAAATGGACTTAAGTTTTGTTGAAAACATATTTTTTTTAAATGTGGATTAAATTTACTCATTTCATTTCATTTATAAGTTAAATGAGATTAAATCGAGTTGGATATTCATATACAATTCATTAACGTTAATTTTATTTTTATTTTTTTTATTATAATTATTCTCTGTTTTTTAGTTACATAGGTTGACACTTTTGGCTTTTTTATTTTAATACTAGGATATTGTTAGTAGTATTTAAATGTTTTGAATGTTTAAATTATTTATTCAGCTAATTATATAAGTTAACATTTTTATTTTTACTTATTGATATTTGTAATGTCACTTTCTAATCTAGATAAAGTTTACTAAAATAGGTAAACACTTTCATAAATAAGTGGGTTGAATCATTCCACTTTAATGTTATAATAAATATATAAAACAAATTAAAAAACAAAATATTTATATAAGTTAATTCTTTTAATTTACTAACTTCTGATAGTGTCAAACTACAAAATTTATAGTTCACTTTGATACAGTAAATGAATTCATTTAACATCTATCAAAAATCAATTGTATTTTTCGTTGTTATTGGCCCAATTTTGATATAAATTATAGTCTCAAAATATTAAAATAAAGAATGCAAAAAGGTCAACTCGTTGAGAATTCACCCGGGCTAAACAAAAGGTAGGTCGGGATAGTGCTTTCAACCTTGAGAATCCAAACCAACCCTAGCTACTCAACGTCCACAGAAAAGGTCAGCCCGCGAATCCGTTAGTCCAATTCAGCAAGTCCCAACTTTATTAAAAATATTTGAACCTGTACCTCGACTTTCATATAATTTCCTACACCCAACTATACGTTAAAAAACTAAATTTACATGTCAATGTTGTGCATTTGACTTATTTACATCATTTAACACTTATATCCAAATGTTGCTTAAAACACGATTTAACATGTCAAAAAAATTAATCATGTTTGGTTAAAAGGACTCTCAGGGAATGACTATTGCCAATAGACAAATTTGAATGATATTCTATGTTGTTTACTTCAAATGATTTGGAAACGAGTGAGTTGATTTGCGTGATATTGAAAATTCAAAATCGACTTATAAAGAAAATGATATATGAGGAAGAGGTTGTGTGTAATTATTAACTAACTCTAACGTCATTCATATAGTTCATAGACTCATATTTTTGTTTTTAGCATTCACTATAATGTTGGGAATCTAAGTGTGAGTCCAAGTCCCACATTGGATAGAAATGAGAAAGTATAGCAGTATATAAAGGTGAAAGACTCATTATCCCTTATATAGTTAGTTCATACATTATTGGTGTTTGTGTAACGTACACGGAACCTTCTCCTCGATAGACCCAACATTATAATAAGATTAAATTGGTTTTTATTTGATTTGAATAATTTTTTAAATTAATTAATATATTATAGGATTTTTTAAATATCAAGATTACACCGGTTTTTTTTATTTAAAAACTAATCATTAACATCTTTTAAATTAATTCTACTCTAAGAATTTTTTATTTATGTTACTTTAACCGCGAGAACAAAAGTGTAATTTTTTAATTTTATCTATCATAATTACTTTTTTATTTGTTACATTCATTAAATTTTTCACAAATTTTTCTTAAGTCCAAAATAAACAATACTATAATTCTCTTTATCCTCTCAAATCTTTTCATTTATTCTTCTAAATCTATCTTCCAATATCATTTATTTTTAAAATTGTGACTAGTAATAAAAACATCCCACTGTACACGTAGAGACCGGAGCAGCATATAGACGGCACGTCGTTGGCCAATGACTACCCTATTAACGCACCCTGCGTCACTCGTCTCCGGAGGGACACGAGGACAGCGTATAGACCTGGACTCCGTATGGCCATGTACCCAATTACGCGACCATTCACTCGTCATCCGGAGGGACCGGGCAGCGTATAGACCGGACGCCCGTATGGCCAATGACTACCCAACTACGCGACCTTGCCGATCGTCATCCGGATGGACAACAACTCATATGAGCCGGCCGGCTGTAAGACTTAATATCAGGAGGCCGGCCGGTCAGACTGCCAGTTGACCAGATTATGATTAAGATTAAGGTAAGTAGCTGCTAAAAAGCTATTGGGCCGAAGTTGGTCGTGATTAACTTTTCACTAATCCCAAGCCCATAACAAAAACTATAAATACAGGTCAAAGGTGAGTGGTAGGTGGGTTGCATAAACTGCACATTTATTACTGTTCTATTGAAAACACCATTGTTCTCAAACTGACTTTGGCATCGGAGAGTCTTTGGCAGGTCTCCCCCACCTGCATGCATAGGAGTGAACCGAAGTGTAAGAAGCGAGACCGGACGACCGAGAGACTGGAAGAAACAAGCGTGAAAATATTTGACGACTCAGCTCCTACAACCGAAACAATATATAAGTTTTAGATAAAATAAATTCTAATTTAACATCTAATTAAGGACTTATATATATATATATATATATATATTATATAATATATGTGTGTGTGTTTACACTAAGATATTTTTTATATATCATAATAAAACCATTTCACCTTGGAACTTGATAAGTAATAAGTTAATATTTATGATGTTATTACTTGATGGTTTATTTTTCCCAGGTGTTAAATTATTATTTTTATTGAAAAGTAGGGTTTGTAACATTCAGCTTTAATGTCATGAGGCTATTGACCCATTTGCTAATTAGATGGGTAGACAAGACAATTTTGCCGTCCTTTGAATTTTGTCACTCTTTGATTTCTATGGTTGTTTTGTTTCGTATTATTTTCACTGATTGATTTTAAATTAGCTTCTCATTAAATTTAAATTTTAAATTAGCTTCTCATTAAATTTAAATTTTAAATTAGTTTCTAATTAAATTTAAATTTTAAATTTTAATTCATTAGTGATTAATTTAAAATCTAATAATAGAAAATAAATAATAAGGAATTAGAGATTAATTTAAACTCTAATTTATAAAAATAAATTATAATTTTTTATTAAATAATTATTTTAGGATATTATAAAATTATGTCTAATTTATATTAATTAATTATTTTTTAA